GGGGGTTAGAGAAAAGGGACCGAGAGACAGAAAACATGCAGACACATAAAAGAGTGTAGCAGAAATTTATAAAATAACTTCTGACCAGATTAAAAGATTGATCTATTCGTCTGCTTTACCAACAAAACTGAGTCACGTCTTTTTGTCATTAGTTTGGAGATTTCTGTGTTATGTAACATAATATTGTTGTCCTATGCTGGTCAGCGAATCTGAAGACAGCAATTACTGGTCTCGTTATCTCTCTTCAGTATGTCTCGGTTGGCTGGATTTTCTTCATGTCTAAACTGGTCGAATTCCTTGATACGGTGAGTCATTCTTCTTTTTTATATACTCCATTTTCAGACTTTTTGAATAGTTCAGTGTTTTTTTAGTTCTTTCAGTTAGGGCTGTTTAAGTAAAGAAGACTATTAATACGAATGCTCGTTTATAGAAGATGATGATGAAGACAACGACATCGACAACGGCAACAAAAACGAAAGCGATGATGATGATGATGATGATGATGATGATGATGATGATGATGATGATGATGATGAAGAAGAAGAAGAAGAAAAAGAATCTGGGTCATTTATTCCAAATGTGCTATTTATCCAATTGTGTGTGTGTTTTCTTTATCTTATTCTATAAGTGTTTTTATCAAATTCCCAAGGTGTATTAAAAAAAAAAACAACCCAACTTATTCTTTAAGTCGTTCTTTTAAGGCGTTTAAAAATATCTTATTCCATAAGTGTTTTTATCCAATTTCCTAGGAGTGATTCTATCTTTTTTCCACAATTATGTGCTTTTATCCCATTCCACAAGTATTTTTAAAATCTTTTTTGTGCTTTTATCCCATTCCACAAGTGTTTTATCTTTTATGTGCTATATCCCATTCCATAGGTGTTTTGATCTTTTATGTGCTTTTATCCCACTCCACAGGTGTTTTTCATCCTTCGCAAAAAGAACAACCAGATCACGTTCCTTCACGTGTACCATCACTCAACTATGACAATTTTCACCTGGCTGGGAGTCAAGTTCCTTCCTGGCGGCACCAGTGAGTAGTGGGCTTATTATAACGTATGAATAATATACATAATGTATAATATTAGTTTGTAAAGGGCATAATGCTTGTTGTAGAGTATGCAATGCGCTCTACAAATGCAATGATAATAATTTTTTTCTTCTTCTTCTTCTTCTTCTTCTTCTTCTTCTTCTTCTTCTTTTTCCTCTTC